TAAGACGACCCCCTACTTTTCCTGCTAAAATGTGGTGTTTGGGCTATACTCGCCGTATAAGACTACCCCTCTTCCAATGCACACCAGTGGGAGGAATAGTGCCCCATCATTGGTGTCAGTGGGAGGAATAGTGCCCCATCATTGGTGTCAGTGGGAGAATAGTGCCCCATCATTGGTATCAGTGGGAGGAATAGTGCCCCATCATCGGTGTCAGTGGGAGGAATAGTGCCCCATCATTGGTATTAGTGGCAGGAATAGTGCCCCATCATTGATATCAGTGGGAGGAATAGTGCCCCATCATTGGTGTCAGTGGGAGGAATAGTGCCCCATCATTGGTATCAGTGGGAGGAATAGTGCCCCATCATTGGTGTCAGTGGGAGGAATAGTGCCCCATCATTGGTGTCAGTGGGAGGAATGGTGTCCCATCATTGGTGTCAGTGGGGGGTTGAATAGTGTCCCATCATTGGTGTCAGTGGGGGGTGGAATAGTGCCCCATCATTGGTGTCAGTGGGGGGTGGAATAGTGCCCCATCATTGGTGTCAGTGGGAGGAATAGTGCCCCATCATTGGTGTCAGTGGGGGTGGAATAGTGCCCCATCATTGGTGTCAGTGGGGGGTGGAATAGTGCCCCATCATTGGTGTCAGGGGGGGGGGGGGGGAATAGTGCCCCATCGTTGGTGTCAGTGGGAGGGAGGAATAGTGCCCCATCGTTGGTGTCAGTGGGAGGAATAGTGCCCCATCATTGGTATCAGTGGAAGGAATAGTGCTCCATCATTGGTATCAGTGACACCAATGATAGGGCACTATTCCTCTCACTGACACTTGCTGACCCAGTTCTCGTACGGTGCTGCTGCAGCCAGCATACGTGGTTGCAGCAGCACCTCTACACTGACCACTTACCTGCTGGTCCTGCACTCGATTTTCGCGGAACCGCTCGGCTCCGCCCCCTCGCCGGTGATTGGCCGCCTGTGTGCCTTTCCTGAGCTACAGTTCTGTCGGCCAATCACCGGTGTGGAGGCGGAGCCGAGCAGCCGCGCGAACATCCAGTGGCCGGACTGAAGGCGCAGCCACGCTTCCTGGACCAGATCGTCGTGGGACCGGAACCAGGTAAGAAACAGCCCCTGCCCACCCCTGTACTTAGTGTCCCTTCCGTTGGAAGGGGGGGGGGGCGGCGGCGGCACCGCGCTGCCCCTCTAAAAAAATGTCAGTATGTCGTATACCGGCGTATAAGACGACCCCCGACTTTTGAGAAGATTTTCAAAGGGTAAAAAGTCGTCTTATACGCCGGCAAATACGATATATATATATATATTGTACATTCACATCAGTCACTAGCCCTCAAGGGCGTACAATCTAAGATCCCTAACTTACATTCCTACATACACATACTAGGGACAATTTAGACAGGAGCCAATTAACCTACCAGCATGTCTTTGGAGTGTTGAAGGAAACTGGAGTACCCAGAGGAAACCCACGCAGGCACAGGGAGAACATGCAAACTCCAGGCAGGTGGTGCTGTGGCTGGGATTCAAAGCAATGACCCTAGTACTGCCAGGCAAAAGTGCTAACCATTTAGACTTGATTTTTCTCTGCTGCACTTCAGTAACACTTACAGGTCCTGTCACTCCCCCACCTATGACTGGACAGTGAAAGAAGAAGCGGCAAACTGATGAGCTCATCTTTCTGTCATTCATATTGACATGTTCCTTGTAAGCACATGAGCATTGTAGCTGGTTGGCTGCCTTTCTGCTTCTCCTTCCTCCAGTCAGGGCTCTGCTGTACAGCGACTCTTAAGAGGGCGATACCAGATAAGATTCAGGTACATACACTGTTTCCATAAAAAAATACTTTTATAGATATATTAATAAACACAGAGCTGCATTAATTTCTCTCTTCTTTGTATCTGCCTGAAGTTCAGCTGTGTGCGTTCTCGGCAAGATGTCAGGAAAGGCCTATAAAACATGTTCTGGTGGCCCTTCAGATTATCTGCTCAAGGAGCTGAATCATTTTTGGTTTGATGATCCAATTTTTCATTGCCAGATGGATTGGGGGATCAGTGTCCAGTGTGCTGATATAAACCTACGCAACATTCGTCTGTTTGGAGAAAATCGCAGGGGGAGGGAATTCTCTATTAATACCGCCATATATCTCACTCAGTTTGTTACAGTAAATTATTCATCGATCTCATCTGCTGCTGTAATCTGGCCCCTGTGCTCTCTTGGCCTCCAAAACTTTGTTTGCTAGTGAGCAGCAGATGAGGCCCAGCAATGAGAGCAAGAGCCATAACCAGCACTTTACAACAGCAACAAATGGTGCCATTAGCCACAGCCTCAAACTGTGACAATGATGAATGATCCAGATTAGTTGGAAGGAAGGTGCTGGGACAGCCAGGAATAAATAAGGAGATCAGAGAGTCAGAAAAGTATCCTCAGACTTCTTTTTTATAGCTAGCTTAAAGCTGACCTCCAGCTTTCCCTCCAGTCTTGCTCAGTTGTACAGGTTCCTCTCCTGGACTGAAATGGCTTACTCTGATTTTACTGCACACTGTGAGCTTCTCACAATGTGCATTAGAAGCTGCAGCATGTCAGATAGAACCCGCTTCATTTCTAGGCTGGAGTACATCCTGCCCCATCTAGCTTTTTCCTTCCCAGCCTGACTGTTCCTGGCTTGCCATGTCATTAGCATGTGGATGAGGGGGCAAAGGAGGAACCAGGGAAATAAAATAAGCAACAAATAAGCAAAGTAGACTTCAGCCTTAAAGTGGCATTGTGTTCACTGGACAGTGTTTGAAGGTAGGAGGTATGGAACTTATACAGGCAATATATGGTTCGAATTCCAACAATTTTCCGTCCGAAAATCAAAAAACGTGGTTTGTTCATTAATCCGATGGTGCTAGCAATGATTTTGAAAATCGGCCGACCAAGTCATAAGGTTCACACCCGTATAACAGGCAAAACTTCTGTTGCTTCCAGGTCACAGGCTCATGCACATATTCTTTTCGGAGAATTGATCGTACGATTTGACCATCATTGAGTCAAAAATCAGTCGTTTTTCACAAATTTTCCAACATACCCGATCACCGAAAAGGGGAGGAACCACGAAAATCGGCTGGTGCCATTGACCCACTAACAGAGCAAAAATTGGCCGATTATTCTTGGGTCCAATTTTCGGACAAAAAATCGGTCGAATTTCGACCCATGTATGGCCGGCCTTAGGAACCTAAATTTGTGTTCACTGGTGGAGAGCTTTGGGAGCCAGCAATTTTAATGGAGAACTTCCCCCTACTTCCCTCCCATGAAATTTCTCATATTAGCCCTCTGATTCCAGGTCTAAAAGGACCTCTGGATGTTTTTTCATTGCTGTTAGCACCCTCATGGGCAAAATTTCCTCTTCCTCCCTTTGCTGCTGACAACACTGATGAAGCTCTAAAACCTAACAAAGATTCTAACTTTTCTTTTTCAGCATTTAAAAGAAGTTATTTCTGGAATAGGGCTATAATATTTCCCTCATTACTTGGTAACTTGGCCAAAACAAAAAATGCATATATTGGGCAAAGCGACATGGACACATTCTCAGGGCAGAGAAGGGTGGTTTTGGTAGTCCCTCACTGGGAAATGATGGTAATAAATCTTAGAGTGTCTCTGTATCACTGCTCTTTTACCACTGGAGCAGTAAGGTGGTTCCTTAGCAATTGTACTGCAACTTGATTGTAAAATCTCTGTACATGTGGCCATCTTTAGCCAGAAAGGTTAGCATTAACCACTGGGCTCAGTAAAGTTTTACCCCCTTCATGACCAGATTTTTTTGCTATTCAGCACTATGCTACTTTAACTAGCAATTTCTTGGTCATGCAACACTGTATCCAAATGAAATTTCCATCTTTTTTTTTAACACACAGAGCTTTCTTTTGGTGGTGTTTGATCACCCTTTTATTTTTTTTATTTTATTTTGCATTTTTTATTGTATAGCTAAAAAAGGCTCAGAAATTTAGAAAACAACCCCTATATTTTATGCTACAAAACATATCAAATAAAATCAAATTTCCTCATAAATTTATTCCAAAATGTATTTTGATACATGTCTGTGCGGAAAACAAAATCCCAATAAGTGTATATTAATTGGTTTGTGTGAAAGTTATAGTGTCTACAAACTATAGTATATATAGTGGAATTTAGACAGCAATAGACGCTTTACTAATAATGGCGGTCATCAGCAACTTATAGAGCGACTGCAATAGTGTGGAGGGCAATCTGTCACTAACAGACACTGGCTGGGAGGGACACTAACTGACACTGGTATATAACACTAGTGACACTAGTACTAATGACATTGGCTGGGAAAGGGTTAACATCAGAGGGCAGTCCAGAGGTTAACTGTTTAAGGCAGGGGTGAACTGTGGCCCTCCAGCTGTTGGTGAACTACAAGTCCCATCATGCCTCTGCCTTTTGGAATCATGCTTGTAACTGTCAGTTTTGCATTGCTCATGGGATTTGTAGTTTTACAACAGCTGGAGGGCCACAGTTGCCCACCCCTGGTCTAAGGGGTTAATATGTGTAATGTTTGCTGTTTTCACTCACAGATCTGGCTGCATTTTCTCCCTGCTTTTAACCACAAGCCTACAGGACACTTATAACCCCTTCCTGCCCAGGCCCAGGCCAATTTCAGCTTTCAGTGTTGTCGCACTTTGAATGACAATTGCGCGGTCATGCAACACTGTACCCATATGAAATTTTTTTCATTTTTTTGTGACAGATAGAGCTTTATTTTGGTGGTATTTAATCACCTCTGGGTTTTTTATTTTTTCTTAAACCAAAAACCATGGAAAATTTTGAAAAAAAAAAAGTTTTTTCTTAGTTTTTGATGGACACTGATAGGTGGCACTGATGGGCACTGATGAGGAGGCACTGGTAGGTGGCACTGATGGGCATTGACAGGCATCGCTGATGGGCACTGAAAGGCAGCACTGCTATATGGCACTGATAGGTGGCATAGACTGGCACTGATAGGCGGCACTGATGCACACTGATATGCGGCACTGACTGGCACTGATAGGCGGCACTGACTGGCACTGATAGGTGGCACTGATTGGCATTGATGGGTGACACTGAAAGGCAGCTCAGATGTGCACTGATATGTGGCATTGATGTGCACTGGTAAGCACTGATATGTGGCATTGATGTGGCACTGATGGGCACTGGCACCTGGCACTGATACAAGGCACTGATGGACACTGACAGGTGGCACTGCTGGGGCTACACTGATCATCAGGGCACACTGATCATCAGTGCCCTGATGATCAGTGTACATGTCCCCTCCGCGGAATGCCGATTACCAGCTTTCTTCTCCTCACGAGCTGTCAGTGTGACAGCTCGAGAGGAGAGAAATGCCGATAACCAGCATTTCCCTGTTTACATGTGATCAGCTGTGATTGGACACAGCTGATCACATGAACGAGCCGACATCTTCGGCTCTTTCCGTGGATTGGTGATCCTCTGTGTTCGAGGGACACAGCGCGCCGCCGATCGCTGCGCTGCGCGCTCCCTGAGCCGTCCTCCCAGAGCGAGAGAACCACCTTGCTCCTGTCATTGGACTATATGGCGGGTGGGAGGTGGTTAAGAAACAGCCAGATTGCTGTTCTGTGTACAGAGTTCTGTGTGTTTGTAAACACCGAACTCTGTGCTGTGATTGGCCAAAACCGATCTACAGATATACAGCCAAAATCATTGGCTGAAACCTGCTGACAAACTCCTGCTATGTCTAATCACAGCACGGGTCAACAGGGGGTGCACACACACGTGCCCAAAAACCTGAAAACAGGCGGCGCATGTGGTTAACATAGGAAGTTTTTGTTTTCTTAAGTTTTCTCTGTACTATAGATCTGTTATTTTTCTACTTCCTGCTACAGTGACAACACTGTTCTCCAGTGAAATTGTACAGTAGGGTAGTCTTAGATGGACATGTAGTTTTAAATGGACTTCAAAGCGGAACTAAACTCTCTCAATATTTTTTTAAATTGTATTCAGCTGCTTTCTGGCCTAGGCCAAAATAATGTCACACATCCCAGGAGTCTTCATGGACTTTTTTTTTTTCATTTGGAGGTGGGGTTTTCTCTGTTAAGCACACCCTCCTGCATGTGTGTCTGAGCTTAGTGTGGATGGATTCCAGGAAGTATTGTAAATTCTGCATGAATCATCTGCCTTTACACAAGATGGCCACAGCTAGAAATGCTAGGGCGTGTGCTCTCAAAGTGATTTCTCCACAAAATAAACCATGGAGACATGGATAGTGGAGTTTGCTTTGATTATAAAAATTAATGAAATAGCAATTTCACTTTGTGGTGCTCAGATACATTTGAGTTCCACTTTAAGTAAAAGACACATTAACTCCAGATAGCACGTTTTAGGACGTTACAGCAACAGGTTATTTTTTCTTTTGGAATAAAGGTTGAAACCTTATTAATAACAGCTAACCATAGGCAAGCCCCAGCAGTGTTTTATGCTTTGTCCTAGCCTCTATAACTGTCATTTTTATAGGGCAGCTTGGCCTGCTACAGGAAGTGGGAAAAATTACAGATCTACTGGCAAGATCAACAGGTAATATGGACAAAAATATGGAAACAGTACATGAGTTGCAGGTGTGAAAAGTGACAACATCATGTTGAAAGCAAAAGTGTTGTAACATTCTTTTGCTTCCACCATGTGATGAGACACCTAGCTAACAGGTGGGAAGCCTCACTTTCCTCATTCACTGCGTGCGCTGCTAGTAATACAGAGTCATATCAGAGCTTACTGAGCTTCAAAGAGGGCAAATTGTTGGTGCCGTTTAGTTGGTTCCTCTGTGACTGATGTTGCCAATGTATTTGCTGTGTCATGAGGTACAGTATCAAACGTTGTGATGGTATATACAGTTTGCAGGAAAACATCATCTAACAAGCATAAGAATGGTCAACATGGTCAAATTACCGAAAGAGACAAAAGGACATTGTGCAGAATTGTGACCAGGAATAAGAAAACAACTGCTGCAAAAGTGACTGCAGAGCTCAGTTTTCCAAAACCTGTGTCCACAAAAACTGTGAGGAGGGAACTTCATAACCAAAACATTCACGGCGAGCTGCAAATGCCAAACAACCGATAGTGACCGATATTAATGTTCAGAAGAGGAGAGTGATGCAACACCTATAAATTATGGACTATTGATCAATGGAAGAGTGTAATATGGTTTGGTGAATCAAGCTTCACACTTTCCAACCACTGGATGTTTTTACATGTGGCAAACACTGTCCCACGCTTACGACCAGGACTGTCTTGTACCAACTGTAAAGCATTGTAGTGGTGTAATCATGGTTTGGGCAGCCTTATCTTGGTATTCTGCAGGCCACATCATCACCTTAAAAGGCAGAGTCACTGCGGGCGACTACAGATGAAACTCGAAAAATTAGAATATCATGCAAAAGTTCATTTATTTCAGTAATGCAACTTAAAAGGTGAAACTAATATATGAGATAGACTCATTACATGCAAAGCAAGATAGTTCAAGCCGTGATTTGTCATAATTGTGATGATTATGGCTTACAGCTCATGAAAACCCCAAATCCACAATCTCAGAAAATTAGAATATTACATGCAATCAATAAAACAAGGATTGTACAGAGAACAATATCGGACCTCCGAAAAGTATAAGCATGCATATGTACTCAGTACTTGGTTTGGGCCCCTTTTGCAGCAATTACTGCCTCAATGCGGCGTGGCATGGAAGCTATCAGCCTGTGGCACTGTTGAGGTGTTATGGAAGACCAGGATGCTTCAACAGCGGCCTTCAGCTCTTCTGCATTGTTCGGTCTCATGTCTCTCATCTTTCTCTTGGCAATGCCCCATAGATTCTCTATGGGGTTCAGGTCAGGCGAGTTTGCTGGCCAATCAAGCACAGTAATCCCACGGTCATTGATCCAGGTTTTGGTGCTTTTGGCAGTGTGGGCAGGGTGCCAAGTCCTGCTGGAAAATGAAGTCAGCATCCCCATAAAACTCGTCTGCGGAAGGAAGCATGAAGTGCTCCAAAATCTCCTTGTAGATGGCTGCGTTGACCCTGGACTTAATGAAGCACAGTGGACCAACACCAGCAAATGACATGGCTCCCCAAATCAACACAGACTGTGGAAACTTCATGGACTTCAAGCATCTTGCAGTGTGTGCCTCTCCATTCTTCCTCCATACTCTGGGTCCTTGGTTTCCAAATGAGATGCAAAAGTTGCTCTCATCAGAAAAGAGGACTTTGGACCACTGAGCAAAAGACCAGGTCTGTTTTTTTTTAGCCCAGGTAAGACGCTTCTGACGTTGTTTGTTGTTCAGGAGCGGTTTGACAAGAGGAATACGACATTTGAAGCCCATGTCCAGGATCTGTCTGTGTGTGGTGTCTCTTGATGCAGTGACTCCAGCCTCAGTCCACTCCTTGTGAAAGTCCCCAACACTTTTGAATGGCCTTTTCCTGACAATCCTCTCCAGGCTGCGGTCATCCCTGCTGCTTTTGCACCTTTTTCTTCCACACTTTTCCCTTCCACATAACTTTCTATTAATGTGCTTTGATACAGCACTTTGGGAACATCCAACTTCTTTTGCAATTACCTTTTGAGGCTTTCCCTCCTTATGGAGGGTGTCAATGATGGTTTTTCTGCACAACTGTCAGGTCAGCAGTCTTTCCCATGATTGTGATTCCTACTGAACCAGACTGAGAGATCATTTAAAGGCTCAGGAACCCTTTGCAGGTGTTATGGCTTAATTAGCTGATTAGAGTGGGACACTTTGAACCACAAGAATATTGCACCTTTTCACAATATTCTCATTTTTTCTGAGATTGTGGATTTGGGGTTTTCCTGAGCTGTAAGCCATAATCATCACAATTATGACAAATCACGGCTTGAACTATCTTGCTTTGCATGTAATGAGTTTTGGCCAACCTTGTGCTCCCCATAGTACAGACATTTATTCCAGAAAGACCAAAGTGCTCACACATTTCTGGGCGCTCGTAGGTTGCCGGGACCTCAATTAGCGTAGAGCCACATTAGTCAGTTTTGGAGAGGCAAATTAGACACTCGTTCGGCATTACAATAATGCTCCGATTCACACAGCTGGTTTGTGAAATCGTGATTTGACAAGCATGCAGGCGAAGTCTCACACATTTCCTGGGCGCCGTAGTTGCCGGACCTCAATATCGTAGAGCCACATTAGTCAGTTTTGGAGAGCAAGGTTCGGGCTCATTTTACGCCTTCGGCATCTCTTGACGACTGGAACAATTTTTTGCATGAAGAGTATATGTGTCAATTCCCAGGAAAATTCAGGCCGTGTTGCATGCCAAAGGTGGTTCAACACCAGATTAGGTAATTTAGTTCTTTCACGTAGTGTTTCCATAATTTTGTCCAACCTTTGTTTAAATATATATATATACACAGTGCCTTGAAAAAGTATTCATACTCCTTAAAATTTTCCATATTCTGTCATGTTACAACCAAAAACGTAATCCTATTTTTATTGGGATTTTATGTGATAGACCAACACAAGGTGGCACATAATTGTGAAGTGGAAGAAAAATAATGAACGCTTTTCAAATTTTTTTACAAATAAATGTGAAAAGCGTGGCGTGCATTTGTATTCAGCCCCCCTGAGTCAATACTTTGTAGAACCACCTTTCGCTGCTTTTTTTGGGATGTCTCTACCAGCTTTGCACATCTAGAGAGTTACATTTTTGCCTATTCTTCTTTGCAAAATTGCTCAAGCTCTGTCATATCTGATGGAGAGTGTCTGTGAAGAGCAGTTTACAAGTCTTGCCACAGATTCTCCATTGGATTTAGGTCTGGACTTTGACTGGGCCATTCTAACACATGAATATACTTTGATCTAAACCATTCCATTGTAGCTCTGGCTGTATGTTTAGGGTCGTTGTCCTGCTGGAAGGTGAACCTCCGCCCCAGTCTCAAGTCTTTTGTAGACTCCAACAGGTTTTCTTCTAAGATTGCCCTGTATTTGGCTCCATCCATCTTCCCATCAACCCTGACCAGCTTCCCTGTGTCTGCTGAAGAAAAGCATCCCCACAACATGTTGCTGCCACCACCATGTTTCACAGTGGGAATGGTAAGTTCAGGGTGATGTGCAGTGTTAGTTTTCCACCACAAATAGCGTTTTGGTTTTAGGCCAAAAGGTTCAATTTTGGTCTCATCTGCCCAGAGTACCTTCTTCCACATGTTTGCTGTGTCCCCCACATGACTTCTCGCAAAAACTTCTTATGGTCTTCTTTCAACATTGGCTTTCTCTTGCCACTCTTCCATAAAGGCCAGATTTGTGGAGTGCATAACTATTAGTTGCCCTGTCGACAGATTCTCCCACCTGAGCTCTGGATCTCTGCAGCTCCTCCAGAGTTACCATGGGTCTCTTGGCTGCTTTTCTGATTAATGCTCTCCTTGCCCAGCTGGTCAGTTTAGGT